CATATTAAGCTTAGTTGTGTTTTTAATTCATATGTAAATATATATGTAAATTCTCAGGAATTCCGATTATTTATTTATCTTATTATTTTATTTACATATTGAGTGTTTGGGATATTTCTATTTAAACAAATTTGCACATTTATTTATTTTTATTTTTTTTTTGTGACAGGTCGGAAAGTATTCAGACAATCCCTGTATTAACATGCTATGCGTTTCTCAGGAACTCGAATAGATTCGCAGAACTTTATGCTTTCATTCAAAGTATTTAAGAAGCTCAGCAGAAGGCAAGCAGACGGAGGATTAGTTGAATGAAGAGAAAAGGAAGCAAATGCTACTGGTCTTCTAGGTAATCTATATGTGCTTGTAGCCACACACTTATAAATATCATTAGAATAATATTTAATAAAAAAAAAAATAATTAAACTACAACGAGATTTTACTGCTTAGAGAGGTCATGTAGACTGTATTAAAATAAAATATATTTGTAAAATAATAAAAAAAAAACTGCAGCAGTAGGGAATTCACTGTGTATGTATATTTAAATTTATTAAATTCCAAAAATTTGGCTTTAGTAGTTTGCAAATATATATATTTGCATTGTTATGCTACAACTATATTAGTCATATCATCACAATAACATTAGAGACCAGGGTATACAAGTCAAAGATTTGAAATGCCTAACACAAAATTCTATGCAATCCATTTTTAATTTATGTCTATTATTCAACACAATTAGTGAAGCCTTAGAAAAGCTTAAGTCGTTTATATGAATGCCAATAAATGGAATGCAAAGCCAAACAAATTATTATGAATACTAAAAGCCATCATTAATTTTCATTAAAAATGTATAGAACTATTCGGCCGAGAGCTTCACTTCTTTCAACTAAGAGCACATACTATTTCAATTGATATGCCCAAAACTATTTAATTCACTAGATACTCGTTGTAAATTGCACTGCCAACTGCCAGCTGCCAGTTGAGCTGGTATTTGTGTATTTAGTTGTCAGCAGCCACAAGAATTCATTTATCAAGTGGCACTCAGTTTACATTGTTCCTAAAAACAATCACATAACTATGGCATTTTCATGCCACAGCAGGTTTTTACCTATGCTGTTTGGTGTGCAGAACACAACTGCAAACAGGACACAAAGGCAATGGCAAAGGCCATCTATGTATGCGACTTTGTTGCACTGGCGGTACAAGTGACTGTTTGGGCTGGTTGACTGACTTTGACAGGAGCCACAGCAACAGCAACAATAACAGGACTATAAATAAGATACGACCATGTGTTTCACTGCAATTGTGCCTCTGTGTGTTTGTGTGTGTGTGTGTGTGTGTGTGTATATGTGTGTGTGTGTGTGTGTGCATGAAATTGAAAGAACTGTGTCACGCCTTTATTTGCTTATAAAACAGACCAGAAACAACGACAAGCTGTTCTTGTTGCTTTTGTTGTTATTATTGCAGTTGTTGTGCCTGTTATTATATCTAACTCTTGTTGCTATGTTCATAAAAGTGTCACACCATCTATTTGTGTATGTGTGAGCTTGTGTGTGTTCGTGTTTGTGTTTGTATGTGTTTCAGTAGCTTCCTGTTGCATGCTCGACTTTTTGCTTCAACATTTCCGCTTCCTTTCATTTAATATTCTGTACACAGTATATTTCTGACAATGCTGATTCCATATTTTTCGCTTTGGCCTTTCCGCCAACCTCAAATTCCACTATATTTAAATAACAGACAATCGCTTTAAAATTATGCTATATTTGTGCATCTGCAGGAGGCATACTTGATTGAACCGTTATGGCACACCTGTTGCCGGCTCAAAATATGCATAGTAAATATACATATAAGCATAACACATGCCATAACTTTCGATTACACAGTTGCATCGTAAGTGCATGCGCTGCATAAGAGCCAGATGTATTGTACGATATGATTTAACATACTTATGCGATTTATCCAATCGAACCAAAAGCCAGAACTATTGTTGAGTAGTTGATTATGACTTATCTTATGGCATCGGCAGTCTGAACGAGTTTATATTATTTAATTATTTATTTATTAGGCAATAGAATTAGTATCAAATTAAAACTAATGAATGAATAATGAAGCACAGGGGCCTTCGGCTTAACTTAACTTATTACATCTTAATGCACATGGAATAATGAGTTCATTGAGAATTTAAATACTTAGTACGGGAACTCCCCTAAAACGAGTATTTTATGATGCTATTTTATTAAGTCGACTTTTTGAATACCTTAAAATAAACCAAATTAGTATTCTACTTATCGAATTACATATATATACAAATAAAATCGATGTTGTTTACCCACTCACAAATAATAACCTACTCGATATCGATATTGTTATTAACAGCCATAATTTGTTGCCACTGAATTATTGCACAACAAAGCAAAAACGCTTTGCACATATTGTGGTTAAAGCATCCAATTTGTTAAACATCGTTCGTCGGTGTCCCTGCTGGTATTTGCTTTCGACTTTTATCAGTACGAAATTGGCCAATTTATTGCATTTTCGGAACATCGGAGCTGTGTGGCATTGTTATGTGCCCGATTTCAGTCATTAAAATGCGATTTCGATTCGCTTCGTCTTCGAGCGAACAAAACGTAGCACAGGTGCAGTACATTGAACCAGCCACCTAACATCGCTTCNAGCTTCCTGTTGCATGCTCGACTTTTTGCTTCAACATTTCCGCTTCCTTTCATTTAATATTCTGTACACAGTATATTTCTGACAATGCTGATTCCATATTTTTCGCTTTGGCCTTTCCGCCAACCTCAAATTCCACTATATTTAAATAACAGACAATCGCTTTAAAATTATGCTATATTTGTGCATCTGCAGGAGGCATACTTGATTGAACCGTTATGGCACACCTGTTGCCGGCTCAAAATATGCATAGTAAATATACATATAAGCATAACACATGCCATAACTTTCGATTACACAGTTGCATCGTAAGTGCATGCGCTGCATAAGAGCCAGATGTATTGTACGATATGATTTAACATACTTATGCGATTTATCCAATCGAACCAAAAGCCAGAACTATTGTTGAGTAGTTGATTATGACTTATCTTATGGCATCGGCAGTCTGAACGAGTTTATATTATTTAATTATTTATTTATTAGGCAATAGAATTAGTATCAAATTAAAACTAATGAATGAATAATGAAGCACAGGGGCCTTCGGCTTAACTTAACTTATTACATCTTAATGCACATGGAATAATGAGTTCATTGAGAATTTAAATACTTAGTACGGGAACTCCCCTAAAACGAGTATTTTATGATGCTATTTTATTAAGTCGACTTTTTGAATACCTTAAAATAAACCAAATTAGTATTCTACTTATCGAATTACATATATATACAAATAAAATCGATGTTGTTTACCCACTCACAAATAATAACCTACTCGATATCGATATTGTTATTAACAGCCATAATTTGTTGCCACTGAATTATTGCACAACAAAGCAAAAACGCTTTGCACATATTGTGGTTAAAGCATCCAATTTGTTAAACATCGTTCGTCGGTGTCCCTGCTGGTATTTGCTTTCGACTTTTATCAGTACGAAATTGGCCAATTTATTGCATTTTCGGAACATCGGAGCTGTGTGGCATTGTTATGTGCCCGATTTCAGTCATTAAAATGCGATTTCGATTCGCTTCGTCTTCGAGCGAACAAAACGTAGCACAGGTGCAGTACATTGAACCAGCCACCTAACATCGCTTCAAAGGAAAAGGAAATTGCTTACCGTTCTCAGCATCAGTTAGCGTTCTATTTTTAGTCGGGACGTTGACTGTATCGCAGGGAATTGCTTACATCAAGTTCAATGCACACACGTACGTGTAGTTTAGAGCTTGCAAATCAACGTTTGCCAGTAGGTCCCCTTTAAATGCTGATTAGCGTTGAGGGACACAGTGACTGGTAGCGTATTAGTAACATTCATTGAAATCTTTAAATTGAAAAGAAAATAAAGATTGCGCGAAAGCTTTCCCCGATAACTGCTCACGATAACATAACGATGAAGAAATTGGTATTAATTGAACCACTGACCATATGATTGAGCTTTGGTACAATTAGATTTGGTATTTTAAAAACATCTGGCCACAGCTCTTAAGGATTTATTAGTTGATCAGTGATCACTGATTTTGTTTTTTAATACACAAAGTAGTTAAAAGTTAACAGAGTTTGCCTTGTATTAGTTTTTGCCGTATTCAAACAAAAATAGTAAAAATGGAAGAAAACTGGAAAGATACCGCCGAAGACTGGCGGGACTCGCCTTTTCTAATCGTTCTCTACGAATATGCGGTGAAGAATGCCGGCATTCCTTCGGACATGGGAACACTAATCGCTTATTTATTACTCTTCCTCGTCACTTGGTATGTTGTGGTCTGGGCGGCACGCTGCATTCTCTCGCTCATCTGGCCCCTCGTCTTCTGTATGTTGGCACTGTTCCTGTTTCGGTTGCTGCGCTCATACGATCAGGAAGATTTGTTGGATATGTTGTTCCAGGGCATAACCCTAGTTGCGGATACAATTGTTTTGATATTGTCAAAGACTCTGGGATTTTTGTTAAGTTTCTTGCACTGACTATACATCAGTCGCATGCATTCCAAATTCTTGTACATATGTTAACTTATTGTCACTGATTTATAAGAACGATTGACTCCAAATTTAGTATATTTAAATATATGTACATATATTGCATTAAGCTATGGTATTTATTTTGGGAATCATATTTTGTATATTTAGATATGGTCACACTAGTTGCCCGGCAAAGCAGATAGCAAACAGTTTGGAAGAAGAACGAGAAAATAAATTANTAATAATTAATTGTCATAATAAAGAGTAATACAATAATTTTAAAACCTTATTTTCATACACATATGCAAACTGATATACGTTGTGTGCTTAGCAGTATTTTAATTTCATAATTTCATAATGCTATATAAATATAAAAACAAATAACAAAGCATTTATTTTTAGATTTTTGTATGGTGCCTTGAAACCGTTGTCAATCCGTTTCTGTTTGATAAATTTATCGACCTTTGTAGCAGCATATAATATTCTTGTAAGTTCCACAAAAATATATATTTATAAATACTCAGTAAGAATTGGTATCTGCCACACAAAGCTCTTGCAGAATGCCAATCATACGCTTGGAATCGTCCGATAAGGAAATTTTTGATACAGACATCGAAATTGCTAAATGTTCGGAAACTATTAAAACGGCACTCGAAGATTTGGGCGATGAAAGCGATAATAGTGTGTTGCCTCTGCCGAATGTGAACTCGGCAATTCTGCGCAAGGTACTCCATTGGGCAACCTACCACGCCCAGGACGATCCGCAGCAGGCACAGGAGGATGAAAATAAAGAGAAACGCACTGACGATATTTCATCTTGGGACGCGGACTTCCTAAAAGTCGACCAAGGCACCTTGTTCGAGCTCATTCTGGCAGCCAATTATTTAAACATTCAAGGTTTACTGGATGTTACTTGCAAGACTTGCGCCAACATGATCAAAGGCAAATCGCTTCAGGACATTCGTGAGACGTTTGCCATTGCCAACGACTTTACTCCTGCTGAGGAGGAGCAGGTACGCAAGGAAAACGAATGGTGCGAAGAGAAATAAAAGGAAGAATTAAATTGATTATATGATTGTGAAAGGAAATTAAATAAATGATTTTGCATGTTGACTAAATTAATTTTGAGATTGACTTGAAAAGTATGTGCATTTTTGGTAAGAATCAAAAATAACCTCCATATTTTCATGTCGGAACATTTTAGAAATAAGAAATCTTTAGGTGCAGTCGRCAGATGGCGCTGCTTCAGCTTTAGCAATTTTTCTTACCGCGTGATAGCTGGTATTATTGACATGTGAACTATGTATTTTTGGAGTTGCACTACACGGTCACACTGCACCTGAATTCGCCAAAAAAAAAAGAACCAACGAAACTAAATTTTTGATCAGGATTGGCGCATAGCAAATAAATTTGCAGTAAACTTCTCAAAATTTTTTGTGAAATTGCATTTTAACGCCATCCATAAACGCAACTATCTAGTTGCGTGACACAAACACACAGAAACACAAACATATTTTGTTGGTGAAAAAACAGGCGGCGGCAGCGGCAGCGGCAGCGCAGCGGCGGCGGCGACGCAACACACGCGACTTGCAAGCAGGCAAAACACGGCGAGGAGGACGACGACTAGACCAAGTGGCTTGGCCCAGTCTGAGTGTGAGTGTGTATATGCATATATGTGCAGCTCGAGGATAAATTGAAACACAATAACAACAATGGACGTATACGACGTAAGCGACGATCTGATCAAAAAGCTCAACGACTGGAAACTGATTGGCATTATATCCGGCAAATTCAATGAGCTCAAAGAGAACCACTCGAAAGTGAACTTCGTGGAGCATGCATTGATTGACTTCAAGTACATGGAAAAAATATTCCTAAATGTAACGTTGCGCGAAAGTAAATGCAACAAGCGCAGTGTCGAATTTCGCATGCTTGGCAACGAGCAGTTCTCCCTGAAGAATAGAAAATACTTTCAGGCAAGTATTTTTGCGACCTATTGTTGTAAATATTAGTTTTATCCGAATTGCACTTAATAATACCATCAAAAATAATCTTCGCCGATAAGTACACAAATAATCAAAAGATCCTCTCACCGCAGGCACTCGAATTGTATAACAAAAGCATTTGCTATGCGGAGCCCAACTCGGAGAATTTGTCGATTGGATATGCTAATAGGTCGGCAGTATTTTTTGAATGGAAGCGCTATCGTGAGTGCTTGGCCAACATTGAGCTTGCGCGCAAGGCGAACTATCCGGAACGACTGCGTCATAAGCTGGACAAGCGTGAGCGCGACTGCCAGCAGTTGGTGCAACAACAGCCGCCGGACATTGTGCCGTACAATTTTAAGATGAGCTTCGATGCACACCCGCAAGTGCCATTCATAGCCAACTGCTTGGAGATGCGCGAGACCCCGGATGAGGGCCGGTTTATAGTGACCACGCAAGATTTGGTTGTCGGCGACATCGTTGCCACTGAGGAGCCCTTCTGCTCATCGCTGCTGGCGCCCATGCGATACATAAGATGTTCCAACTGCAAAGAGGAGCGCTATCTGACGCTCATACCCTGCGATAACTGCTGTTCCGTCATGTTCTGCTCCGAGGAGTGCAAGAAGCGCGCCAATAGCACTTTTCATAAATACGAGTGCCCCATTATCGACCTATTGCATCGCATGTTCAACAAAATCCATTGYATTGCATTGCGCACTACGCTGAGCGCCTTGGATCTTTACGGCAGCATTGAAGAGCTGATGGCGTTTTGCGAGCAGCCGCAGAATCAGCACAAATCCGTATTCGATCTGGACTATACGCAGCTGACACCGCAGGAACATTATCGGGCCATACACGGTCTGGTAACGAATCAGCATTTGCGCTCCGTTTCGGATCTCTTTCAGCGGTCGGTTGTGTGCGCCGTCCTCAAGCACTTCATCATGGAATACACGCCGCTCAAGGAGTATCTCGGTGGCGAGGAGGGGCGCAACTTCTTTACGGATCTACTTTTTAGACATTTACAAACATCACCATCGAATATGCATGGCATTGATCTTGTCGAACAGGCGAACGAGACCAAGGACGACCAGTCGCATTCATCCGGCGCCTATGCGTTTCTCTCCCTGCTCAATCACTCGTGTGCACCCAACACGCTGCGCATCTACGAAGGCGTCAAGGCCTATTTGTTTGTGCTGCGGCCCATCAAAGCCGGAGGTGTGCTCTACGACAACTACGGGTAGGAGAGACAACTCTATAATCGATCGTTACACCTTATTTGATCAAAATATGTATTTTTTATTGCAGCGCGCATTTCGCAGTCTTCGGCAAGAAACAACGCCAGGAGACACTGTCCATGCAGTATCGCTTCAACTGCAAGTGCGAAGCTTGCGAATTGGACTACGCAAAGTATAGAAATTTGCCGTTCAAGGCATCGGTGCCGCTGGTCTCAAATGACACGGACTTAAAGCTGTTGGGCGCATACAACTACGAATTYGCATTGAACAATTATCAGAAGTACTGTGATTTTCTGACGCAAAACGCTGATGCTTTTCCCTGCGCCCAGATCAGCTCCGCCGAGGAGTGCCTCAAAATGGCGTTGCATATCATGGTGGATGCGGTGCCCCTAAAGGCGAAAATGTAATGTGTCTGGGACACAATGCACTGACTGCCTCGCAACCCGCCATCCCACCATCTCCACAAGACGAACTACTACATTTATATTGATATATGTCTATTTATATATTGATATATATCTGGACGAACAAGCAGTAATTATCCCTAACTATAATTTGTTGCCATAAGTTTCCAACATTTTTGGCAGCTACGGCARTTGTTGATTTTAATTGGCATGCAAAACACACACAACACGATTTTTTAATATTTATACATATATCTACTTGTGAATTTATATTTTCAACAACTTGATTGAAACAGTTTGTGTAATTGTTTTGCAAACAGCTAAAAGAAGAATCGCACACTAA